CTCGCCGGAAAACATTTCATCTCCGGCCGCCATGTCCACCTCCATCATCCTCCTCTGGCTCCTCACCCTCCCCCTCTCTATCCATGCCTCCCAACAAATCAGAGGTGAATAAATATGAACTTATTTATTGGAGTGAGTTCATCAACAGCTTGTTTTATTTATTTATTTTTTTTTAAAAAGAGATAATATCACAAATTAAAAATCCAATCTTCTTCTTTTTTTTCTCCACAAGAAAAAAAAAAGAGAATTTTATTAAATTATTAATCTAATCTCCCCCCATTGTTTTCAATTTTCTATGTAATTAAACACAGGCTACCTCTTGAGCTGCGGCTCGACACAAAACGACGAAGAAGGGCCTCTCACGTACGTCCCGGACGACAATTACACGTCGGCCGGCAACAAAACAAGCTTGAAACGAACGGACATATTGCCTAGGTTGCAAACTTTAAGGTTCTTCCCCAATGCCAATGCAAGAAAACACTGCTACACTTTTCCGGTGACTAAGGAGAAGAAGTACCTCGTCAAGACCGTCTACTTTTACGGGGGATTCGACGGAGGAACTGAGCCGCCGGTTTTCGATCAGATAATCGATGGCTCGAAGTGGAGCACTGTTAACACGACGGAGGATTATGCAAACGGAGGGTCTTCGTACTATGAAGCTGTTGTGGTGGCTCAGAACAAGTTCTTGAGCGTTTGTCTCGCGAGGAACGAGCACACATCGAATGGGTCGAGTCCGTTTATTTCGTCCCTCGAGGTTTATTTTCTTGATGATTCGGTTTATAATTCGACCGATTTCGAGAAGAATATGATGGCGAATGTTGCGAGGAGTAGCTTCGGGCCCGAAGGGGATATCATTTGGTATGTATGATATTGTGTTTGTTTTGCATATTTGTTGTTCTCAACGTAGAAATTTAAACGATGAGAAAGAAAGAAAGAAAGTAAGAAAGATCGATCGGCTAGCTTGTTATTGTTGGCAAGAAATGTGCAAGTTTTTTGGGCTTATTGAGGTTATAAAACGTATCAAGACGAAATCGAGTTGTTAGTTAGGTACAAAGAGACGGCTAGCTAGTTTTTGCTCGTGTTTTTTGTTTTTTTTTTTTTGTGTAGAGTAAGGTTGTGTTTGGTAACCATATAAATTAGATTATAAGTTTATTTGATTAGCTTATAATTTGTAGGACAAGCTTTTTTAAAAACATCAAACCTATCTCATAAGTTTCTTCCTTGAGTAGCTTTTCAAATAAGTCCATTGAAAATTTTATTTTATCTAGCTTATCAACTAATTTTACTAAATACTTTTATCCACCCATAAGTCACAAGCTATCAGCTATAAACTCAAAGTTCACTTAAAAACTATATGTAAGCTAGCTTATCAGCTAGGTTTACCAAACATAGCCTAATAAATATACAAAATTTCAGCTTCCCAGAAGACAAGTTTGACCGGTACTGGCAAACCTTCCGAGACGGCTACCCTTTTGTCTTGAGCCAATCAAACGCGACTCCATCAACCTTCTGGAACATTCCGCCACAGAGCGCCTTGTCATCGGCACTCACAACAAGCAGAGGGAAAAACCTCACGTTCAACTGGCCGCCGTTTTCTCTCCCGAGCGGGCTTTATTACATTGCATTGTACTTTCAGGACAATCGGCACGCAAGCCCTTACAGCTGGCGAGTCTTTGACGTTTACATAAACGGGGGGAAATTTTTTCAGGCGCTTAATGTCACGGCTGAAGGTCAAAGTGTGGTCGGGACCAAATGGCCACTTCAGGGGATAACCGAGATCTCATTGGTTCCTAATGGCGATTCTCGTGTGGGGCCGTTGATCAATGCTGGAGAAATCTTTCGGGTTTTGCCTGTTCAGGGAAAAACGGTCACTAGAGATGGTATTTATCTTTCTGCTTATTGTTGTTGGTGTTCTTTCTCGGGTTCGAAAAGTTTAATTCGTCTTTTTTTTTTTCTTTCAAGAAATCGTCGTTTAAGGCGCTTGTGAAGTGTGTTGCAAATAGGGCTCTATCGAACTGAAACGAACCGAGCTTAAGATTTTCGACCTCGAGTTCGACTAATTTTCGGACATGTTCGTGTTCGTTTATTTAATATTCGTACAAAAAATTTCGCCGTGTTCATTCGTTTATATAGTCGAACTTGTTCGGGAACTGTTCGAATTGTTGGACAAGTTTGTGTTCAAATCGTTCGATAAGTTCGTGTTCGTGTTTGCTGACTTTATTTTATTTTAATACCATACACATTATTAATATATCCATATTTATATGTTATATTATAAATATATATAGTATATATATAATATGAAATTATAAAATACCTTTTTGTTCCTGAACGCTCGTTTAGTTCGTGAACTTGTTCGTCGTGTTCGTTCGATAACTAAATAATTATAATTTAATGTTTGAGTTTGATTCGATTACTAAGCGAACGAGCTGCTATCGAACACGAACGAACAAGAACGAGCTTTGTTCGCGAACAGTTCGGTTCGATAACAATCCTAGTTGCAAAAAGTATCCATGTCTAATTACAAGTAGGCCCGAAAATTCATTTTCATTTGCAAAATTGCTCCCTTCACCGGGGAGTTAATCGTCAAAGGAACTAACGTAACGTCGAGGTTGTTTTGCAGTTAGATTAAGATTTCAGGGATTTTTTCTTGAAAATTATCAATGGTGACTAACATGTGTCTGAAAGTTTTATGTCTTGTCTTCTTTTTGTATATATTTTTCGGGTGCTCGCAGTGATGGTCATAGAGGATTTGCGAGAAGCAATTGCTAATAATCCGCCTGAAGGTTGGGCGGGCGATCCGTGCCTGCCCAAAGGGACTTCTTGGATCGGTGTTTCGTGTTCAGACAATGATCCGTTTCGAATCATTTCTTTGTAAGTTTTTTATTTTTCTCTAAAAAAAGGAGCCCGAGTACACGAACGATCTTTTCACCTATTGTTTCGAAAATGCATGAAGAAACTTGACAGGCTTTGGATTGACTGGACCACTTCCAGAAAGTTTGTCTCATTTAACTGCACTCAAGCATCTGTAAGTTTTCTTCTTCTCTACTTCTTTTAAGCAAGTATAACTTATCGTCTTCTTTCTTCCTTATGTAATTATGAAAAACCGGAACTAATCCCAGGTTGCTTGGGGACAACAAGGTTTCGGGTACAATACCCGATTTGAGCGCACTAAAGTCCTTGGAAATTCTGTAAGATCGCGAAAACTGCATGCATAAGCATTATTCTCTTTTTTTTCCGTATATTTGTACTGATTCAGAAAATCGACTCGACTTTAATTTGGCGTTTCGATTCGGGGAAAAAAAAAAGGCATTTAGAGAACAACCAACTCGAGGGATCGATTCCTAGTTCTCTTGGGGAACTACCGAATCTCAAAGAAGTGTAAGTTTTTTTACAGCTGAATTACAAGTCTTATTGCCTATTGTGATTTAAAACTTAGAAGCATACGAAAGAAGTAACAATTTTTTTTCCATTTTTACCGACAGGTTCTTACAGAACAACAAACTCGACGGTAAAATCCCGGATTCTCTGAAAAATAAGGAAGGTCTGACCATTCGGTAAGTCCTTATAATCCTACATTAGGGAATCACAGATTAGCTAGCCTTAAAGGTATAATTCATTTTTCGTGGATTTCTGTAGGCTTTAATAAGCAAAATTCGGAGACATATCAGCATCGGAGGAGAAAAGAGAGATTGTAATTTTCGCCTACTTCGAAATGAACTACTGATCTGTAATTTTATTTTATTTTTCTTTTTATTGTTAATATTTTTGTTTATAAATATAAATATATATATATATTGTACTATGATTGTGCTTATGTTTCAGTTTATGCATAGTGATGATCCACAAGACACAGTAGGTTTTCTTGATATAAGGTAGAATTTAATTATTGATAGATTCAACTGGGCTACAATTTTGCTTATTTTAATTTGGAAAGTTTTAAATTGATATATGATTAGAGAAAGATTACGTATCAAAATTGGATTAACTTGGAAGCTAAAGAGCTTCTGTGTCGTCCCTGGGTGGTCCAAGTTCATCATATTTACCGGGAGGCGAATGCGGTGGTAGATTTTTTGGCTTCTTTGGCGGCGACGGCTCCTGGCGGGCTCCAACGGTTGGCACACCCCCCGCAGGGGGCTAATGTTTGGTTATTTCATGATAGAATCGGCGTGTCTCATAGCCGGTCGGTTCTTCCCTAGGCTTTCTTAGCCTCCTTTATCGTACCAAAAAAAAAAAAATAATAATAATATATACCCTAACGCGTCTTAGTTTCATCATATATAAACTTGGAGGGACAAGGATTTATTCCCCAGCTGGTAATTAACTGATTCTCTGTTACCAGTTCAATTGTCGATCCCCGAGTCAATTACTGAATCGGATAATTAACTTTTTTTAAAAAGTAAGTTATATTTATACTTTTTTTTATCTTAAAATTATACATAAAATAAAAATAATAATAATTTTTATGTAAATTTTACACCTCAAAGTAAGTCTAATAATATTGTATCTATTAAACATTTACCACAAACATATATAAATAATTTTATTTTTAGAATATGAAACAAGAAACACACACATACATATGTACAGACGGGTCAAACCGGGTTAACCCGGCTGGATCCATATTTAGGCAAGGTCCCTTGTTAGCCAGTTGGATTTGAAGGAGCCACTCAAACCAGTCTCGACTCTGGATCGACTTGCCAGATTGGTCCGGGTTTATTTATTCTTCCTTGTTTTCTAGTTTCCACTGTTTGAAAAAAAAAAAAAAATACAAGCTTTGCACCTTAAGTTATCTTATCTCTCCACCTAAGAATCTTTTGCAACTAGTTGAGCCATAAAGTCTTACTTTGTACTATCATCTAAGCATCAGAATAACTTAAAACAATGTACTTTCATAGAAAGTAGCATCCAAGCATATGACTATATATATTTGCGCCATCCGGATTGTCTCAAAAAACTCGTCCCATTCCGAGACTTTCTCCACCATAATCGCTAAAAAAATGTCAAGTTTCAGCTTTCTTGAAATGCAGTACAACAACCTCTCAAAGAGAAAGTTCTTGAAAAAACCTTCGAGAATGTTTTCAAGGGACAGGCAAAGTTCGTCGGGCCTTTTCCCCATCTACTTGCCGAATACCAACGAGCTTAGGCAAATATTCAACAAATTCGACTCCAACAAAGACGGCAAGATATCACCAGACGAGTACAAGGCTATACTAAAGGCATTGGGGAAAGGAAGCCTCATTGCCAAAGAAGTTAAGAAAATATTCGAAGTTGCAGATTTGGATGGCGATGGGTACATAGATTTCGACGAGTTTGTGGAGGTGCAGAAGAAGGGCGGTGGGGTGAAAACGGCTGATTTTCACCGTGCTTTCCAGGCATTCGACAGAGATAATGACGGCAAAATTACAGTTGGTGAAGTGTATGAGTTGCTTAAGAATCTTGGGGAGAGGTGCAGCTGGCAAGATTGCCAGAAAATGGTGAGGGCCGTGGATAGCAATGGAGATGGAGTGATCGACTCGGAGGAGTTCGTGACTATGATGACTCGTACCATGACTATATGTTAAGATTGAATTTGGAAATAAAAATATGCCTTTGTGTTGAGTGTGTGTGTGTGTGTGTGTGTTCTAGTAAATTTGTGCTTGTAAACTAGTTATGAAAAAGAGTGAGCCCATGAGATTTCTCTAACTTATTGGGTTCTCCTTTGATTCACACTATTATAGTAAATTTGTGCTTGTAAACTAGTTATGATACACACAATTAGTATAACAAGAACACTGGCAAAACTAAAAGAGACCAGAACAAAGTAAGAGACTAATAAGTGGATGATATATAAACGAAAAAAAAAAATCACTCCAAAGATGAAAACAAATTTACCGTGACAAGAAACAGGAAACTACTCTTGATTCTATTCATGGATAGTGACATCGAAACAAACTTATGCAGCAATGCAATCTGAAATATTCGAAAACTTCACGAACTAAAGTACTAAAATTATCATCAACAATTCAGTCTTCACTCTTTGAATGCGAAAGAGAAAAAACAGAGAGCTACAGTGTCTTGTTTTATCAACAAACTCCTCAAAAAGAGAAGTTACAATGTACCTCAGAACAAGTAGCTGGAACAATTTCATCATATCCCTGGAGAATGAATGGCCCACACAGAAATCCAGCCAACATGTAACAACTCCACATTCCCATCCTATCTCAGGCAGCACAACTCACTCATCAAAAGCCATAAAAAATACTTACCAGTAGTCATTGCACGAGCACTTCCCATCTTTAAAATGATGAAACCTCTTGTTATCCCTCACAATCAGCTCCCTTCCCACGATCCTCGACATGATCTTGATAAAATTGTGGCAGTCCCCACATACGCGCAGGTTCTTGATGATCCTCAGTGGGGTCCGAGCTGGGGTTTCAATCAGTCCATAAGCAATCGCCAGGCGTTCGCTGTGGTACAGCAAAGCCTGTTCTTTAGCCTCTTGGTCAATATCGTGAAGGACATAACGTGTATCAGGCACGTAAACCTGCTGCTTTTGCGCCTCCTGAAGTTTCTCATCATCTTTATAAAGAGTGGGGTTTCGGAACTCAGTTATCCTATTCCTCCCGACCAGCATACTGATTGCCGACTGCTTTTTCGGGGGTGGTTTTGGAATTTTGTCCTTGATTGCCTTAGATGGGTCAAGATCGACAATAAGCTCCTCTACATGATCTTCGAGGTCAATGTCACCATGCATTCGGGCGTAGTTCATTAGTGCCTCCCAAAAAACAACTTTATCCGTGGGCTCGAATGGGAGTGTCTCGATGTATGTGATGGCCTCCGCCAAGTGGCCCGATTTCCCGATCACGCCTAAAAGGGCCAGATGGTGTTCGATTCCCGGGGAGATGCCGTGTTCGGTTTTCATGGACTCGAAATATATGAATCCCTCTTCAATGGCTTCGGCAGTTGCACAGGCTTCCAAAACGGCGAGAAATGTTTGCTCGGACGGGTGCAGGCCCAAATCCCTCATCTGTTTAAACAGGCCCAGCCCATCATCACCAAGCCCGTTTATAGCATACCCATTGATCATCAGGTGCCATGAATCCATGCTCCTTTCACGCATATGATCGAACACCCGGCGTGCATCTACCATGCTGCCACACTTAATGTACATATCAAGCACCATGTTGATCAACCGCAGTTCGCTCCTGAAAGTCGACCTCAGGAAGTAGTCGTGCACCCGTTTCGCGTCATCGTGCTTTTTTGGCTTCCCGCACAGCTGGAAAAGCAAGCTAAAGCACTCAGCATCTGCAAGCACGCCATTCTCCATTTGTTCAATTACCTCCTTGACCTTACCCTCACGGCACAAGCTCAACAAATCCACAACTTTAGGCGGCTCGGCTTGGTCCCTAGTGGCCACACCATGGCTGTGAGCCTGAGTCTGAGCCTGAATCCGATTAGTTCCTGCAATCGGGCCGTGATGTTCCCACTGACTCTGGCTCGGCTGTTGGGCATGGGACTCACTGTTGGGGCCCTGGTTGTAATTATTCGTCCATTGATCGACACCTCCGTTCGGGTAGTTCTGGGTCCGATTAGGGTTCTGTGGATAAGCCTGGTTCTGATATCCTCCCTGAGGATGATGATGATGATGATTCCTTTCCAAATTCGGGTTCGAATTACGGGCGTATCCTTGATTTTGATTAGCATTGCCCCATCCGTTGCTGTTTCCACGCGGAGGATTAAAATATTTCTGGTTCTGCTGGAAACCCTGATTGGCATAGTTAGGCCCGGGGTTTGTAATTGTCCCTCCCTGCACATAATCGGCCGGGCCCGAATTGAAACTTCCATGATTCGAGTAACCCTGATTCAGCCCGCTACTCGGGTAGCCGCCACCGCCGCCCTGGTACTGGAAATTATTGTTATTGGGGCCGCCAGGATTTCTGGAATCATTATTCCCCGATGCCCAGTGATTGTCGTGGCTCTGGTTGAAACTGAGCGACGGAGACGACGGCTGGTGGTGATTCGGCCTCTGGAAACCGTCGGCCGGCGGGGCGGTCGAGAGGGTTCGGACGGCGTGGGAAGAGGGGTTTAGGGTTATGGATTTGGGGAATGAAACGAAGGGATGAGGACGGCGTACCTTGCCGAGAATAGATGCTTTGGTGAAGGAGAAGTGAGCTCTGAGAATCGAGGATAGAGGTGACGACGCCATTTTTGGGTGGTCGAAACTCGAAATGAATGGTTAACCTTTTGATTCGTTGATGATAAACCCTACTGCGGGCAGTTCCCACCATTTTTGTGGGATGAGCTATGACCCGGCCCGGCGAAAAATAAAATAAAAATAAATATAAATAATTAAACATAATATTAAAATTATTTTGTCACTTTTTCCAAATTTGATAATTACTAGAACTAAAGCATTATAAATATAAACTATTTAAGTATATATGTGATGAACTGTGATTGAAAGAATTTATGGGTAATATAAGTTTTATAATTTTGAAGGATTTAATCCCGATTTAAAAACTATTGTTATTATCAATATTAGTAGTAGTAATAGTATATAAGATTTTAAAGTAGTTTGACCATTCTATAATATGATCGTCGAGAAATTTATTTTAATTAAAAAATGATATTTATTTCTTTTTAATTTGGATCGGTAAATATAATATTACATTATAAAAATAATTTATTTACTATATCATGTATGAAAAACAGAGAACAAATTTTAATATAGTTGTATAATTTAAGTTAGTCAATTTTATTATAATTTTTTAAATCATAACATACAAAAGTAGCAATCTTATTATTTGAACTACTCTGAAGCATTACCTCCCCAAAAATCGCAGAAAGCATCCTCCCCAAAAATCCTCCGCACATTCCCGTCAGATCCCGTTCTTCCTCCTCAATCCTTCAGGTCGCCTTCCTCGACGGTGAAGTAGCATCAGCTAGGGGTCGTCCTCGACCGCCTTCCCCACCCCTTGACGCGTCGCGACTTCGGAGCCTGCGGATGGCGACGGCTAGGGTTCCAGCTTCAGATTGCAGTCGAAGCTTCAATCGGAGTAGGTGCCCATCCCAGTCGGCGATTGACCTGCTTCTAGTGGTTAGCCCTTTATTTTCCCTCCTCGTCTGCGCCGGTTTGGAGTTGGTTGTTCGGGCGGAGCTCCGCCTTTCAGGTGGGGTCTCGATCTCCGGTCGTCGGCAGGTCGTGATGGTGTCGGGAGGGGCGCGTGTCTTCAGGTGGGGCAGGACCTCAGTGGCTGCAGCGTCCTTGTTGCGGTGGTTGGGGTTGAGATTTCGATTTCGCTCACCCTCCCCTGCTCGGCTAGTGGTGTTAGGCGGCAGGGGACCTGGCGCCATTCACCTCGTCTAGTGGTGTTAGATGAGATTGGGTGGGGTCTTTGTGAGTGTTGATTGTGGATCTCTCGGTCGAAGATGGGTCGATTCTGGGATTGGCATGGGGTTCAGATTGTTCTACTGTATAGGCCTTCTGCAGTTTCGGTAGCGGCTTCTGTGCCTCATGTCCTTCTTGTGTCGATCGTTCACCGTTGGTTGTGCTTGTTCTCTCGTCGGGGAAGGGCTCAGTTGTTTTTGTTTATTTTGTTATTTATTTTGTTATGCTGATGATTTTGTCTTTGTGTTGCCTTTTTTATGTGTTTTGTTCTGTTATGTGTTTTTGGTCTGGGTCGTTGGCCCCTGTGAGCCGTCTGCGTTCGGTCGTTTCCTCGTTTGGGGCCGTTCCACATTACCTCGTCTGGGGTCGTTCCATATCACCCCGTTGGGGTCGTTTTATTTTTGTTAGTGTTGTTGGTTCTTGTGTTGGTGTTTGAGTCATTTTCTTTCTAGCCTTGCTAGCGTTTCTAGGCGGACCTCGGTCTAGCCTCCAAGTTTGTAATTTCGCACATTTGTGCGCTTATCTATAGTACTTCTATCGTTCCGACCAAAAAAAAAAGAACTACTCTGAAGCATTTATAATTGACAAATAATGTTAATATACCATAAATTAACAAATAAAATGAGAAATAATACTTAGAAATGATACCATAAATTTGAAGTATTATACTTTAATAAATACATTATGCATTTAAATCTATTAACCTTACATTTCATATTATACCAATAAATTTCTCATGTTTACCACACCTGATAAAATGGCAAAAAAAAAACGTACGTTGTTATTAGTTTCTATTTGTGAATAATAAAACCCTTGTTTCTCAGCTCCTCTTTATGCCTCATCTCAATTGGGTGTTATGCGTTACCATGGAGTCGACTACACCGGGTTGCTTGACTATCGTCGTTTCCTCCTACCGGCATATCGCTTCTTTTAGAACTCGGTGGCTACGGCGGGTGGCATGGAACAATGATGATTCGGCGGCGAGGCCGAGTTGCTGGCGCCGATTGTTTGGTAGGGGCTGAGGCCGACGACTTTATTTTTCCCGCTGTTTGTATTTTCTTTGGTGTTGGGTTGGCGGGTTCCTCTGTTCGGGATGAGCTTCAGTTTTGGTCGTGGTCATCGTATTATGTTGGGAAGGAGATATGAACGAGCCTCCATTCGCTGTTATATGGGTGTTCCGTTTAGAAGAGGGGTTTGGTTCATTTGTTCAGGATCTAGTTAGCGGATCTAGTTAGCCGTAGATTTATTGGAGTTCAAGATCTCCGACTTGGACCGTGTTTTTGTCCTTTTGGGTGGTCGCCTTTTCTAGTGTTGACTTATGTGGTGGTGGTTAAGAGTGGCTTGTCGGTTGATAGGGAGGGTCTTATTCTAATATTGTACAGTTTTAGGACATGAGTGTGTTATGTGATTTTCTGTGTTTGATTTAGTTTTTATTATCCTTTTAAGAGTCGTATTCTCCACTAGTGGGAGTAATGTAATATTGTATATGTTTGTGGTAATCTAACTTTCCTTCGAGTTGTTTTCCCACTGGATTCAGCCGTGTAGCTGCTCAATTCGTCTAGATTCGACTCTTGTTGAATTGTTTTCTTGATTTAGAAGGGTGTATTCAATTAATACTTTTAAAGGTTTTTTTTAATATTTTCAATATTATGGTGTATTCAACTGAAACTTTTTTAGGCTTCTAAAAGGTCTGCATGTATTCAATTGAAATGTTTAAATACTTTTTATAAATCTCTAAAAGTCATAGTTCAATTGAAACTTTCTAAAGAGCCTTAATAAGTAACCCGATATTCAAAGTAGAAAGACTTTATAAGACTTTTTAAATTGAAAAACTTTTAGAGAATTTTTTAATAAAATTACAAAGACAAAGACCTTGTTTGTTTATTGGCTTTTTGCCTACTTTAGCGCTTTTTACACCATTAGCGGTTTGATTTTTTTAATCAACAAAAAAATATGTTTTGTAAATAGCTTTTGAAATCAGCATTTTGGGCAAAAGCGCTAAAAATAAAAACGCTTGCCTTTTGCCCTACTTTAGCGTTTTTTACACCATTAGCGGTTTGACTTTTTTAATCCACAAAAAAATACGTTTGGTAAATAGCTTTTGAAATCAGCATTTTGGGCAAAACCGCTAAAAATAAAAATGCTGCCTTTTGGAGCATTTTGAATGGCTTTTTGAGGCAAAAATAATTAAAGTCATAATTGTCATTTTCTCTTTCATGGGATCTCGCACAACTTCTCTATGAAATCAGAACAAATAAAAAATTCTACCCTTACAACTTCTGCAATTTGAAAAAAAAAAAGTCACAGGCTTGGGAGACGGCGTCTGAGCTCTATCATGAGAGTATTTCAACCGCATGACAACAACATTCGTGGCTGAAACTAATTTAGGGTGTAAATTAAACAGTAAAAAAAAAAGATTTTTTTATCAAATAACCTTAAGGACAAATATAATTTGTTTTTTTTTGTTATTTATAATTTTGGGGTTCATACCAATATTGTCCAAATTCCTACAAAGCAGTTGATATTTGTTATTTGATTCGTGTATATGACGTGAACTTAGTTACTTGATTAAGAAATATTTTTATTTTATTATTATTTATACTTTTATATATTTTAAATAATTTTAATAAAACTTTCAAATTTTAGTAAGTTTATTTTCTAAATAATTATATGTTCGACATAAATAATAATGATAAAAAGTAAGTTGATGTCCTTATAAGTAATTTTAGATGTTAACATCTAATTCAAAATAGTTATTTATCAAACACTTTTTTTACAAACCGCTAATACTACCAGATGGTCAAAACAACTAACACAATCCGCCAGTCAAAACAGTTAATGCAATTCGCTAACAGCTAACAACTAACAGCTGATTATTAAACAACCAAAATATTGTCACTCACTTTAAAAAGTTCAAATGTTTATTTATGAAAATTGGGGAAAAACAAGGACAACATGTCAAAACAAAAGAAAGTAAACTTTACCGCCAATTTGTTCGGGATTTAAATGCAGAGAGTGTGTGTGAGAAGGAAGCTACCGAAAAGCTCGTAAATGGAAGGGGAAGACGAATCGCTGTCGCATTCAGTCGAGTCAGCAGACTCCGAATCCGATTACGATCTATCTCCCGAATCTGAATCTCAATCCGCCAGCTATGAAAGCAACGACGGCGATGAAGACGAAATCCCCGCTGCCCATTCAGCTCCGCCGCCGAACCACCGGACAAAGTCGCCAAACGTGGCCGCGCTAGTAAGGTTAGTTGCACCGTTATGTCGTTCTGTTCACTCGGTCGACCATGTTTCACGGATGTGAGCTGAATTTCGGTTTTCGCCAACTATTAGTATGCAACACGAATGTGCCATTTGAGCTAGGGTTTAATCTTTTCTGCTTTATTGACGGTGAATTATTGTGTGAATGACGGCATTGCTTGTATCTTTCTGTGACAAAACTAGTTTGTGATGTTTATAAATTAGGGGAGATATAAAAGTGAGACGGCAATCGTTGTTCCCTCGAGTTTATTCCGTAGCAGATGCAGTAGCCACCTTAAGGAAGCCCTTTAAGCCTCCCTCTTGCAGTGGTTATTCCGAGAACAAAGAGCAGCTCTCACGCCGGCTTTGTGCTCGTAAGAGGTTTGTGCCGTGGGGTTCCACAAGACCTGTGTTAATCAACATTACAAACAGGCTGAACTCACCTGAGACCACTGGGAACTATGATCAGGAGGAGAGCGTGTCACTTCCTCCAGGAGTTGAGCCTCTGGTGTTATGGCAGCCCGACGAACTGAAAGAGTCGGACAGTGATTTGACGCCTATTGTTGTGGATCCTTTGCTTGTGAAATTTCTCCGCCCCCACCAAAGGTACGGTTGAACCTCGTTTGGGTTTCACAGACTTCTGAGTAAGAATGTGTAGCCAAGTGATGCAAGTTATTTTTTACGAAAATTGAAGGTCATGATAAATCCATGACACATGTTTTCTTTAGATATTGTTGAAGATGTTGTAGTGTCCCGAGTTCTGTTTTGCATGAGTTAGGACTTAGGATGAGATAAGTATAATGTGGTCTAGGAACGCTCTTTGGGTGTTATTATTTATCAATTTAGTATTTAGTATTTACAGTTAATTGCCGTGTGACAGAAATATGAATATTATACCGTGTAGTTGTTATTACTTAGTATCATAAGTGTTTGTTATTTGTAACCATTTAATTAGTGGATTTTCTTGATTTTTGCTAACAGAGAAGGGGTGCAATTCATGTTTGATTGTGTTTCTGGTGCTCTCAGTGCTGCCAATATCCACGGGTGCATTTTGGCTGATGATATGGGGTAAAATTTCAGTACCAATTTTATTGTTTAGTTTCTAAGGCTATAACAAAATATTTATTTGATTTGCATCTCTCGGGTTGCTGTCTTTATCATGTTTTGTTTGTTCTCGTTCAGGTTAGGAAAGACTTTGCAGTCAATTACATTACTCTACACTCTTCTTCATCAGGGGTTTGATGGGAAACCAATGGTTAAAAAGGCAATAATTGTGACTCCTACTAGTTTGGTCAGTAACTGGGAAGCTGAAATCAAGAAATGGGTTGGGGAAAGAGTGAAGCTTGTTGCACTCTGTGAGAGCACCCGAGAAGATGTTGTCTCTGGAATTGATAGGTTTACCTGTCCTCGAAGCCCATTACAGGTAATTTCTGTTACTTTCTGCCTTTCTGGTTCTTTCGAAAATAGGCATAACTCAATTCGGATTCATGTTGTCATAGGTACTGATTGTTTCCTATGAGACATTTCGGATGCATTCTTTAAAATTCAATCAAAGCGGATCATGTGACCTACTCATATGTGATGAGGCTCATAGGTTGAAGAATGATCAAACATTGACCAATCGAGTAAGATACATCAACTTATTCTTCGACATCATGCTTACTCGATGACTGTCGATTTTATATGACTTTAATGGATTAATTATGGCCTTATGGGTCAGGCATTAGCTGCTTTATCATGCAAACGCCGCATCCTGTTGTCTGGGACCCCAATGCAAGTGAGAATAGCCTATCGTCATTTTTGCTATTGATTTCTGATAGTACTTTACTTTATTCGTTTATTAATTTTGTTTTGAGAGAGATTCATTTTTTGTATGATCAAACTTAGAATGACCTTGAAGAGTTCTATTCCATGGTTAATTTCACAAATCCTGGAGTTCTGGGTGATGCTACAAATTTCCGGCGTTATTATGAGGTATGGATTTCCTGAACTTTGGAGTTGATTAAAGATGACAATTGCTATTATGCTCAAATTTGCAGTGCATACTGTTGTTAATTATACTCTGCAGTATGTAGCACACATGTATTTCTGATACTTTTTCCTATATCTAAAGATGCCAATTGTTTGTGGTCGTGAACCGACGGCTACTAAAGAAGAAAAGAGGCTTGGTTCAGATAGATCTGCAGAACTAAGTGCAAAAGTAAATCAGGTAAGTAAGACCATCTATATTCTATGCCAGAGTCTGCTTCATTCTTGTCGGCCCTCCAGTTCTGGGGCCGTAGATATGATATGAAGTTCTCATTTGTGTAGAGGTGTCTTGTTGGATGAAGTTATGCATGGGTTATTGTACAAAAATGTATAATCTGTTAATCCTGAATTAACTCACTAACAAGTTTATTGCATGTTTTTCAGTTTATATTGCGGCGGACTAATGCACTGCTATCCAATCACTTACCACCAAAGGTACTCTGAAAATGGCTGTCATCCAGAACTCTTAGCACCAAGAACCATAATAATTTAGACTATGATGTTGTACTAGGGAAACCGATAGTTATGACTGATAAATGATTTAATTTGGAGATTTCTCTGTGTTTCTTTACAGATAGTCGAAGTCGTGTGCTGCAAGCTGACAAATCTCCAGTCTACGTTGTACAATCATTTTATACATTCAAAAAATGTAATCTAATTTTTATTCTTCAGTAAGATAAGTTAGCGGTCAGCATTTGTTTATTCTTGAAATACAGGAAAAGACACCTAACCTTCTAAAGTTCCATGCAAGGTTAAACGGGCGATTTCAGAAGAAGCAAAACAATCAAAAATCTTAGCTTACATAACTGCTCTTAAGAAGCTCTGCAATCACCCTAAGGTATTTTTCTTTTAGAATGATGAATCTACATTTTGTGGTTGCACATAGCTCTTCTGAGAAGTTGAAGTGTAGCATCTTTAGGGTGGTGTGTTATGACTGTAATTGTCATAATCTAATATGTTGAAGTTTCTGAAATATCACACAAGATTGATAAATTTGTTTACTGTAGCGAAAAGGGGAATGAAAGATCAACTGCATCCAGTTTAGTTTACATGACCATGGAACTTAGTTTCAGAAATACAATATCAAATGCTGTTGGTGAGTAAAACGAGTGATGTAAATTTGCTGTGTCATACTGAAGTTGTGCCAATTTTGCTTTGTACACGTGCTTATAGACTTGAAATGCTGCAAAAGGTAGAGTAATGACTTAGACTCCTCCAGTAGAATTTAACTGAACTCTGGATTGATCCTGTAGATCCCATATACAGAATTTGGTTTTCTTCAACTGGGAAATTAAAGGTGCTGGAAGAAGGCAAGTGATATGGGTCACCAACCATTAACATTTTCTTAAGTATGTAATATTAGTTATGTGTAGGACCCTTAACTTGACAAGCTATTTGTGGTGTCTGCTACTCATATGATGTGCCAAAGACAGTATAGAGCATTTTGCTCGTCATCTGGCTTCTTGCTTTTTAGGAGGATACATTAGAGCCTGTAGTAGTTTTTTCAGCTGAATATAACATCCTGCCAGGGAAGTCCCTGCTTCGTATTGGCTTATCATGCCTTTCCATTGTGTTTCAGTTTCCCCTTGAAAAATGTGGCAAAAGGTCTTAGAATTTGTCAATGGTCTCAACCATTATTTCAACCTAAGTACGGGGCCTATCTAATCGTTTGTACTTTTATTATTTGGGTTGTGTCTATATAAAACTAACACTAGATAATTCAACTTGAAGCTAATATATGAAACGATAAAAAGTGGGAGTCCAGGAACATCTGGGTTTGAGGACTGTCTGCGTTTTTTCCCACAAGAAATGTTCTCTGGGAGGTAAACTCTCCCTTTTCCTCACACACCTATATTGTATATTTTGCAGAAGTGATTTTAGCTGTTCATAATTTGAAAAGCAAATCCTCTTGTCCCGGCAGGTCTGGATCGTGGAATGGTGGTGAAGGGGTATGGGTTGAACTATCAGGAAAAATGCATGTCTTAGCCAGATTACTTGCTCATCTTCGTAACAAAACAGATGACAGGATCGTTCTAGTTTCAAATTATACACAGGTACCAGATATTTAACCTGTGTGCATGTAATGATCCGTGTAATGGTTTTCTTCTTCTTTTCCTTCTATTTTTCTATTTCCTGTCCCTTCTATTTTTCTTTTTTGTTATTGATTGTTTTGAGGACTGTCAATACTGTATGCCAGCTTCTTGCTTCCATGATAAACCACAATGATCCCAAAATTTTGTTCTGATATTGTTGGAATGCACACATACTCTTACGTTGAGCATAATATGTTCATTTAGGATAATTTTTCCTTAGTTTTGCAAAATGTATACTTTTAATTATTTTTTCTTCTAATTATGACATTGGAATCCATCTTGTATTTGCAAGGTAATTAACCATCATGGCTAACATTTTCTTTCTTAGACGCTGGACCTCTTTGCTCAATTATGCCGAGAGAGAAAATATCCTTTTCTTAGACTTGATGGGACAACTTCTATCAGCAAAAGACAAAAGTTGGTTAATCGTTTCAATGACCCCTCAAAGGTATGCAAATCTAGTCTCAAAAAATTTAGTTCATGTTGTATAGTTCTTGCCATCATTTTGTTGCATATTTTTTATTTTCCATTTTTCAGGATGAGTTTGCATTTCTCTTGAGTAGCAAAGCAGGAGGCTGTGGCCTAAATCTGATTGGTGGGAATAGATTGGTGCTCTTTGATCCTGACTGGAATCCAGCCAATGACAAACAAGTAATTTATCCTATGTGAAAAAAGGCCGTACTTCATGAAATTGCACAAGCATTTAATAAATAACTCATGTAAGCTTACATAATGTGTATTTTTGTAGGCTGCAGCAAGGGTTTGGCGGGATGGACAGAAAAAGAGAGTGTACATCTACAGATTTTTGAGTACTGGAACAATTGAAGAAAAGGTTAAATACAGTAAATTCTCGATGCATTTGCTTCCCCATTTGTGCTTCTCTTTAAGCAATTGTGAAGTTTCCTAGTTTCTTAGGTATACCAGCGTCAGATGTCAAAAGAAGGACTTCAGAAAGTTATCCAGCACGAGCATGTAGATTCAGAGAAGGTATTTGGTTTCTCTTGTAGAAAAATCCCGTTAATTCTGTTCTTGTTCATGTGTTAATGATACAAGGCTACCATCTCAGGGAAATCACCTCTCAACAGAAGATCTACGTGACTTGTTCACGTTTCATGAGGGCGTGAGGTGAGCCATTTTCTAAATTTTTCTGCTTGTCACATAATCCAGTCCAGTTCACTACTTGATGATATATGCTTGAAAGCATTACAATAGTCTGATTGGAAGTTTGGTAAACTATTGAACATCATGAAATTCCTGGAAAAGTTCATGACGCATCTTGGATTCTTGATATTGCTAGATTCGGTTGCGCATGGCAGAATAAATCTCCTTGAAGACTTATAAACATAAGCATTAATCAAAGTTTTATAGTTGCATTCCAAGGTTAAATTTTCACTTATGAGTTATGACCAAGACTGGCATACAGGTGTAAGAAAATTTGGTGGAGATGCTACAAACTGTTATAAGCTTCAATAAAAATAACAATGCATGACGGCCTTGGCCACACGTCACCACTTATTTTCTCTTTCTTCCACCCCTTCTCTTGGATTATATTTGCCGCACTAGCAGAAAAAAGAATTTGCATAGAGAAGTACTTTTGATGTATGAATATCAACTCTATTCCTGTGTACCAGTCATTTCTACTTTCTCACTTACCAACGGTACTCCTATTTTGTAGTTCTGAAATTCATGAGAAGATGTGCTGCAAACGCTGTGAACAACATGAGATGATGTCTGATTCCAGTTGTAAATCGAATGACATGAATGAGGGTTGCCCGCCTGATGAAGAGGATATAGGGGGATTTGCGAGTATTGCTGGGTGCCTCGACAAATTAAAACACCATGAGAAACAGGTTTGTCGAAGTCATAAAATCAGATTCTGGGGAGAAGAATGGGGAGTAGAATGTATTTGGCTAATAATCTTTTATTCTATATATTTTTTATTATTATTTTTTAATTTCTGCAAGATCGGAACTCCAAAGGAAGAAGATTTAGCCAGCTGGGGGCATTATCATTCTCCATCATCGGTACCTGATTTGATATTTCAGGCTTCAGCTGGAGATGAGGTGAGAGAATTACAACCAAAGTGAATTCTTGCGTCTTTCTTCATTACAAGGTTACATGCACACTAGTCTCTTTTTCATCATGTGTGAGCAACATATAAAGTATCCTACTCGAGACCAATCATGTATTACTCCCCCTATCATTCATTTTTTTTCACATCTTTATATTTTCTCCCAGGAGAGTATTTGGACGATGAGCCACAATTTGCTACGAAATACCCATCAACTGATTTTGCATTTTTTTTTTTATAGGTTTCATTTGTTTTTACAAATCAAGTAGGCGGGAAGCTTGTCCCGGTGGAATCAACTTTGAGGCCAATGATTGAAAAGGTTGATGAGCAGAAAAGACAGCTCACTTGTAGAAAAGTATCCTCAAGAGAAGTAGATTTTTCGTACAATCACAAAAGAACATCTCCTTCGTACTCTGTTAAGGAAAACTCTTTAGGAAATTCAGCCAATGCGAAGCATCAGCCACAGCCACAGCCGCAGCCACAGTTGAAGTTAATGAAAACTCCACAAGGTAAAGCTGAGGTCAGTCTATCTTCAAAAATGTCACATAGTATCCAAACACAATCAAACCCATTACATCCTGCTTTCATAGACGACGATGATTTTGCTTAGGTTTTTGATTATTTTAGCAAAAATCCAATTCATCCATATAGTTTATTTTCTCGATTGGATGTTCAAATACTTCATAGTGTTTGGCCTAGAATGAACTATATCAATAGTTCATGTAGAGTTATACAGGCAAGATGTGCCAATACTATAATGAAATATGGATTGAAAAGAAAAACAAATCCTGTCCTGATATTATTTTTTCAATTGTGTACAAACTGATTTTTGCTATATATAACTTATCAACTTTTCTTCTGCTAACAGTTACTTATTTCTAATGAGTCATTTTGGTATATCACCCCCAGAAGATTTACCTTGAGGAACTTTATAACCTGTAAAGTTGAATATCATTTACGTGAAAGCGAGAGACACTGGGGCTAATGCTCCTTTCGACATTTTAAGTAAAGCCCGGAATTCGTTTGGTTCTTACTCGTTACATTCAAATTCCAAATTTTCAGCTTTCTGAAAATGCTCGTGTTGGAGACTTTGGTATATGGAGTCGTCTCCTGACTGTCAAGTAAGTTCCTCCGAGTATATTGAAACTTTGAATACACTCTTACATGGAGTAGCATACTTTTAGATGGATCCCACTTCATGTGTTTATATGCACAAGTTAGCAAATTCATTTTGTTCTTTATAGAAGCAAACAATTAGAACACATGGCACTACGAACCATATGGCATTGGGTTGGAAAAAAAGCTTATCCAGATTTAGTATTATAGATGGGTAAGGCTACAATCCCGTTACGGAATCATTTCGTTGGGACTTTTAACTGTTAGATGCACATGTAAATTAGTGTACCATGTGCATCTAACGGTTAAAAATTCCAACGGAATGGTTCCGTAATGAAACGATAACATTTTCCATTATAGATATTGTGTGCATGATGAGTCTTAATGCGAGGAATAAAGTCAAAGATACCAAAAGCCAACTTATAAGATAATAAATTCGTTTTACTTTACTTTCTGTTTGAGTTAGAAAATGGCACCAAAGAAGAAAAATCCGAGGAAAGAAAAGAAAAACAAAAAATCTGGCTAATAAAAGACAAATGCTGTTCATCCCATGGGAGACACAATGAAACACAATGCCAAGTATTATTCCACCTTTCCCGATGGGAGTTTTGGGCATCGTTCCTTTTTATTTATTTTATTTTATTTTATTTTTTTTCCTTTAACCTCAAGTAAAGTTGGCTGGAGTAGAGTTGCAAACAAGTCGAGTCGAGTCGAACTGTGTATTTTGTTCTTGTCGAGTTATTGTTGTTTTAGCTCGATGAGACAAACATTATCGACTCGACAAAAAATGCAAATACTCAAGATTTGACTCGAATTTTGACTTGTTTGAATTTTTCTCGACTTTGGCATAAAATTTTAATAACTAGTTATGACTATTTTGATAATTTATGTATATTCGAGCAGCTCATCGAGCACCGGAATGAGCCTCGATCTTGCAAACTATAGGTTCATAAACTCAATTCGAGTTCTCAATCAAACTCGAGCTCGAGAACGTAAACTCGAATTCGAGTGGCTCGTGAACTCCTCAATTCATTTGTATCCTTAGGTTGCAATTAATAATAGAGGGGAATCAGCCATAGCCATTGACTAGTCCCAATTCTCGAGTCTCAACATGAAGATGAGATTTAACATGTGAGGTACAGATGCGGCCATCTATTTAAAAAGTAATAAGATTCTTTTCACCGCACACCATTTTCCACATAAAAATTAAAACTCACGACGTATAATTAACAACAAAAAATAAAATAAATTAAGGATAAATACTATGGTCCCGTTACGGAACTATTTCGTCGAGGTTTGTAACTGTTAGATCAACTATTCCCGACGGTTACATGATAATTTAACAGTTACAAACCTCGAGCAACTAGAATTAGGTTTTACTAAATAAACGTTTTACCAGTTTTGAAATCACCAGTCCCTAAATTTTCTTTTATTTCACATATTATATTAAAAAAGAAAATACGCGTTGAATAAAAATATTTTAGGTATTTGCAAACTTACCTCTTATATTATTGTGAAACATCCAACTTCTCCACGAAATAATAAAAGCCAAATTTGCAAACAATTTTGACTTGGACGAAATCATAGCAATATTTATTAATTAGTGTTGGGTAATTGATGGCAACAAGGTTTCTTTCGTCAACTAACAACTTTTGGTAAAGAGATTGGAGAATGCTGCAATTCCGTTACGGGATGATTTCAAGTTTTTTTAAGCCGTGGATACACATGTAGATCAATGATGTGTAGGTAATCTACACTTAAAAAGAAAAACGGAACCATCCCGTAACGGAACTGTAACCTTCCCCAAAGAGATTATGCAAACAAATGAACCTTGAGGAGTTATTCTAGTGTGTAGAAACTAGAAACCTACTGGGTTCTTCTCGAAATAACCACAAATCTGGGGGTAGTTTTGCTATTATCTTTTTTTTTTCTTTTACACAGAGAAGGATTAATACTGGTTCCCCAATTTCCTTCCCAGTGACTCGAACTCGGGATCTGGGATACACCGAGCGAGGTATGCGCCACTGCGCTAAACCCTCTTCATCTTGCTATTATCTTTCTTATCTTCGTTTGTGTTATCCGGATTTTTTTTTAAAAAAAAAAATTATTTATTTTCCATATCTAGAATCTTACATCAAATGTGTTTGGTTAAATTAGACTTGTCAAAAGCTGTGTTTATTTTGTTTATTAATTGGTCGGTCGTATGGTGAAACAAAAGAGTGTAGAAATCACATGATGCCAGTTTGGCCTAATAAAGAGCACCCTAGCCACCATCACTTGTTGTGGTAAACTCTTAACTTGTCATTTTCTATAAAGTGAATAAAGATTCACAAATCTTTATTAAAAGACAAAAAGAGGCTGGCAATCTAGGTATGAAATTTTGGATAAATTTCACCAATTTTGCTGTCGTCGGGGTTTTGAGCCGTTGGATAAACATACACATGAGTGTACGTGTGATCTGATGGCTCAAAATTCAATGTGGGCGAGAGTCCAACACAGACAATATCAAATACAATGTATATCAAATTGTTCGAATTGGATATATTGGCAAAAGATTTTCCAAAATTGAATTTGTCAATGTAATAGTAAAATTTGATTTGTCTGTGTCACATGATCACAAGCCGAACATGTTCGTTGGGAAAATAATTCCAGAATTATGGTTATGTTTGGTAGACAAATAAGCTGGTTTATAACTTATTTGGTTAGCTTATAAGCTCTCTGTACTCAAATAAACCTTGTTTGGTAGGACGAATTTTTTTAAAAAACTCGAGCTTAAAGCTTTTTTAGGTAAATTTTCAAATAAACTAGTTGAATTTTTTATTCTGGCTAGCTTATCAACTAATTTTACCACACTTTTATCATATAAACTAGTTTTTCAGCTACAAGTCATAAGCTATAAGTTATGAGCTCGAAAATTACTGATAAGCTATCTGCTAGCTTATCACCTAGTTTTACCAAATCTATAAATAGTAAGAGTACTGTTATAAGTACATAATAGTTTACATATAAATCTACCGTTTTGATGTCGTAGAGAATGAAAATCGTCCTTTCAGCAAATTAATTAACAAATAATTTACATTTTTCGAACAAAAAAATGAAAAGATTCTATTATTGAGTAATGCTTTATCAAAATAAATTTTATTATTTATTTATGTTGTTTCTAAAGTATGTCATTTTGCGGTCTAGTCCATTAATATATATATATGTTGTGATATATATTATTACTAATTGCATTAATAAATCAAATATTGTTATTATAGTGTGAAGACATGTTCAATTTGCTGTTTTACCTTCATTTAAAAGTTTTGTGGCTGTCAAATTTAGGACTAAGCATCTTTCCCAATAAAAGGAAATTAAATTGTGAGATCAAGCAAAAGGCATCAATAATTACACACACAGACACACCATATTATAGGAAATTGCTAAAGTCGCTTTACGGAACCATTCTGTCGGGTCTGTAACCGTTACATCATTAGGTAACCGTCAGAGATAGTTGATCAAACGGTTACAAACCCCTACGAAATGATTCCGTAACGGGATCGTAGCATCTTCCCTATATTATATTTTTTTTGGTAGTTGTCTGTTCATTTCAACTCATTATCAAGACACAGAACATTGTTGCACTTTACTTAATTAGTTTTTACACATGATGCATCTTGGAGACATTTTAAAATTGATATAACATAATCTGCTAAATATGAATTAATTATTGATCAGCTAGGGAGGGTCCCTTTGTGCTTTTTCAGTAAAATTCAGGGGCTAAATTGCAAAATAACTCATATTCTTCCTTTTTCTTCCACTAATCTCGTACCCACATAATTACAAAGTTTGGCCCTAATTAATTCTTATTCCCAATGAGACCCTAATTCGGAGTTTTTATTGCAATATGGTCCTAATTAATTTGAAGATTCATGCAAAAAAAAGAAAAAAAAAATAAAATTAAAAAACAAGAACTTTTCTTCTCTCCTTTTCTTTTTCTTTTTAAATGTGTAGGTATACTTACGGGTCGTCGTCCGGTAATATTATTTATCACTCATGCAGTCATATTATTTATTATTTCATTTTTTTTTAAAGAAAATTGTTTATTATTTTTTTTAATATATTCACGCTATCAATTACTCGAAAAGAGATTTTCTAATAATAAATGTGTGCTCCAATTTTATATTTAATTTCATTAAATGAATAACACAGGTACAATAATGACATCGTGAACACGTGTCATTTATTCAATTATATTGAAAAATAATATAAGTCATAACACGAATTATAGGAACAAATAACGGGCATTATGTGCAACACATAAAATCTACTATGCTTCAAGTCTACTCAAGAGCGTTTGGATGAGATGACTTGGATCTCTTCCAGCTTAACCAGTGGTCTCGTGTTCGAGCCCTGAGAATGCAGCAGTGTTAAAAACTCTTGAGGGAGAGCTTTGCCGCCCTTGTGGTCCTACCCGGCTCGATTCCAAATTAGTCGGTTCCCCTGTGGATCCGAAAACCGGAAGATCCTTGTACCAAAAAAACTATGCTTCAAGTCCCTATGTATAATTTTATAAAGAAACCATGGCTGTTGTGTAATAAGGCTAAACATCAAGGGGTGTTCACTGCAATTATCCCTAAATACTAATCAAAGTCCTTGCATGCACATGAACAGCAGAACTTGCCTATATAAAGAGCTCTTGATCACATTGCATGTGAAATCCAACAGTAAGACCCAAAAAAAATAAAAATAAAATAAAAATGGCTTGCTTAAATATGTTCAACAGTGAACAACAATACAGCACCATGGGTCCAAGAATATCATTCTCAAATGATTTTGCTGATCCACAACAGCCCACGATCAAGCTCGAAAATATTTACCGAGAGGCCCCCGTGTCCTCGGAATTTGCTTTTTCGGCCACCGATCGCGACACGATCGTCCCGGCCGATCAGATTTTTTCCGAGGGCAAAATTCTTCCCCTGAGGGAAAATTGCGCGAAAACGACCACAATTCGCGACGAGCTTCTTTCGGATAACGATGGTTTCGAGGATGTACCCTCGAGGATAGCCAAAGGTACAAGCAGTTGGAAGGAGAGATTGGGTTTTAAGAGATCCCATGTTGTTGTAGTACCTAAGAAGAAATCTGACAAGAATTTTGTTGAAGGGTCTTTGGAGAGTATAGATGAAAATGATATATGAAGGCTCAGGAAAATGTTGCTTGATGAGGGTGTTAAAAATGGAAATTTGGAAAGTTAATTATAATTTGTTTGATTTTTTTTTTTTTTTTTTTTTTTTGGGATTTATTTTTGTGTTATAGGGTCTTTCTGGTGAACAACTGAAAATGGATTGGTTTTATACTTTTATTTTGATCCCTCATATTCCTTTCTTTACTCATTGGATAGCTAGTTCTTTTTTGGGAGATGCTACGTCCTGTTACGGGACAATTCCGTCGGAATTTGTAACAGTTAGATCAACTATCTCTGACGATTACTAGATGATCTAACGGTTACAAATCCGACGAAATAGTTCTGTAACAGGACCGTAGCATTTCCCTTCTTTTTTTTTTCTTTCTTCTTTTACTTTATTGGAGCCCTCTTGTAGAAATGTTTTACAGCTGAAATAAAGTGTATTGACTATTGTGCAATTTAAGGTGTTTTTGGTATATAAAATAACTCAATTTGTGTTTAAAATTTAACTCAATTTTAATCTAACTTCACTATCATCAATATAGTTAAATAATATTAATCAATCATAATTACACGTCACACTGAACTTTAATTCATTATCCATCAACTCGCATAATTTTATCTAACCATCATTTAATATCACATCGCTCTTACTTTTACATCAATTCGACTTTAATTAATTTATTTCAAAAAAAAAAGAAAATTTTAATATAAATGCAAAATCGCACTAACACCAAATTATACCCCATTTCTCAAAATTAACCACGGTTAACCAAAAAACCTCGTTTTGAATAAATATATTTGTATCCAACCACACCCTCAATTTATGTACTTATTTCATTTTGAAATGGATCTCTATGATCGAAAAAATCATCGAGTTTTAATGGTCGTTAGATCGAACAGTAACAAAATCCGCTATTAGCAGTAGAAAAAAAAGGACTCAAATGCAGAAGGGTAGCATCAGATGAAATGAGATCAGCTCTGAAAAATAATGAATATCATACAAAAATCACTCAAAACAGAATATACCTTGCTTCAGGGTTACAATGTGTATATTTACAGCTAAAAATATCGCACCACAATGAAGTCACAATCATAATTAAAATTTAAAAAAAAAAAAAAAAAAGTTAAATTGTAATCAACAAATGCAGGCTAATAACAAAGGCTATGATTTGCTGAGTTTAAACTTTAAACCTACTGGCAATCACATGTACACAATCTACATTATCTTTTCTTCTGACAAGAAAGATCCCTTTTACAAAGCAATCTTTACTGTACATCATATATATACATTTGTACACCTGCAAACAAGCATGTTTAAGTTTAGTATACCCCAAAAGTTCACAAGTAAAGATTACATTTTTAAATTTTAATGTTAGTACGATTACGATTAACGACGTTGCGAAGCAAATCGACTTTAAAAGCAAAACCACGATAATATTTAAAGAGAACAGCTATTTTAAATTTATATGCCATGAGTTCAGTAAATTGTGTGCCAATTAAAACACATGAAAAAATTACATAGATTTTATGTATCATGTATTTGATAACTCATAAATCAGTCTAACCTCAGCAGTTAGTGTTTCGTATATTCACGAAAAAACTGCAGACTTGTATGATAAAGTAAAATTGTAATACCTGATTATGATCTATCTTCTTCTCCTCTAAGCTTATGGAGTTTCTGCTTGTGTCAGATATAACAGAAACCTCATTATCCATACGGGAAAATTATTATACATACACATATCTTCCAGCGTAACGGATAGCGAAGATCTTCTTTTGAGCAAACCTATTGCATGAATTCTCGAGGAGGAGTTCGCCCCATGTATTTTTCTACAGACTCTCTCTTATGCTCTGGGTCAAGGCTGCCGTACAAAAATAATTGCAATACAATCATCATCATCGTCGTAATGATAAGGCAAAAAAAGCATTTATAGTCCTATTGGTTTAATGTCATCAATTTTAATCCGAAGATTCCAACTTTTCGCCTTTTGGTCTTGTGATTTAATTTTTTTTTTTGCGTAATTTCAGTTCTTCGACCGGACTAAAATTGCCAAAAAAAAAATTTAAATTAAAGGAATTAAATTGCTAATCAAAAATCAGGAAATTGGAAATTTGTTGCAATTTCAGTCCTCAAAGAACTGAAATTGCATCAAAATTGAAATTGCATCAAAATTTTAATTACATAACTTAAATTGCTAATAAAAAATCAGGGTATTGGGAATTTGTTGCAATCTCAAAGAACTGAAATTGCAGCAAAATATTAAATCATAGAACCAAAAAGCAAAATGTTGGAACCTTGGGACTAAAATTGGTATGGCGTTAAACCAGCAGGATTAAAAATGCAATTTTGCCTAATAACAATAATAATAATAATAGCGGAAAAAAGAATAGATGAATTCTAGACCTGTTCCTAAAGCCAAGAAGAGCACAATGCACTGCACGAGCAGCACCAGAAGCCGGGGCTATAGCTGCAGCTGGGGCAGACTGCACGGCAGTAGCCAAAGCGGACCCCACACTACCACCTCTTTGGTACTTTTTCAATGGAGTTTGCACCAAGGCAGAAGCCGATTTTCCAAGGCCATCACTAATGCTTTGGTAAGCCTAAATCGAGCAGAAAATTAAACCTTATTTTCAAAAGCGCTCCAGAAAAAAACAGGTCTTGTCTTTCTACAGGACAGAAAAAAAAAACAAAAAAAAAAGGCAAGAAAACTTGCGATGACGAGTGATTATTCTTTTCAGCAACTTAAGGAATGGAATAATTGCAACAATATATAATGAAAAAATAAAATAAAAATGAGGATGTGTGTTTATCAATAACACCTGTTGAATTCCTTGTTGGGCATCATTAGGCTGATTTAATCTCACATTTGTACCCACTTTGCTTTCTACGGGCCATGGTACAGAGGGTGGTATGCTTGCTAGGATGTATTCGGCTTGGAGAAGAACATTATGGGCTCCGGCAGCTAAATGTACTCCTAGTCCAATGGCTTCGAGTGAGATGCTTCTAAGAAATGCAAAAGTACCTGTAATAACAGTTCATTTATTAACAGACTTAAATTGACTATTCAAGTAAAAGATTTGCTCTTTTCGGAAAATGGAAAATTTACATGCTCTGAATCCTATGTCGGGGAAAATAAAATAAAGAACAAAGACGAACAATTTTCAGGATGGCTTCATTTTGAATAGATTAAATATGGTGACCACATGCTCATAAATTGCCTACTGAAGTTTACCTCTTTGCATTCCTTTGAGTAGTCTATGATCCTTTTTGTAATTCTTTACAGGCAGAGAGACCAATTTTGCAGCTCCAGTACCAACAGCGAACAAGGACTTGATGGGAGGAAGGCCTTTTAACAGTTTATGAATCTAAAGAGATTGCAATTTGTCAGAACCGCATATTCATAAATATCAATTTTGCTGTTTTGATACATAATAGATTTGAGGTGAACCTGATTTTTAGAAATGTCTTCTAACCACTCCCCAAATATTGTCTCACAAACACTTCCCCAACCATAGAGACCAACTCCTTGAACATGCTTGAGTTGTAACTCCACACCCTACATATGTTCAACAGTTATTTAGTTTGGCAATAAGATCAACAATACTGACAAATGTAAGTATGAAGAATTATGACACTGTAAAGAATTCATGACATAAGCATTAGACAGACCAAACAATAAGTAGTGCATTCTGCAGGTTTGATATTTTTAAGTCGGATGATTCTCAACAGAGTTGGAGAGCTTTGCTGTCCTTTTATCTAGTTATTCTCAGTCAATGGGTTTTGAAAGTGTTCATTTTTAATCTCACCTGAGTCTGCAAAAACTATTCTTTAAAGAAAAATAGGCATTGATCAGAACATTACCTTCCAAGGTACAAGGTTAACAAGTTCAACATATTTGCCACCCCTCAATGCAGTTAAGTCAACATGGCAGGGACTGTAATCAACTCGAATTAGCATCGGGCCTATTTCGAATTTCTGCAACAAAGCAAAGAAAGATGAGCCAGCATGATTGAGAGTAAGGTGTAGCCCAATTATGAGCAATAAAGATAACTGGTACGGAAAGAGAGCAACACGAGCATTAGAATTTACAAGTAAATTGTGAAGTAATCAAAATCAACGTGAGTGAAGCACGTATGATAAGAGAACACTTTCTGAAACTATGAAACACATTACAATGGAGTGTTCACAGTCACCAAAGTGAGCTTCATCAGTATAAATTACCTGAAAGTAAGTAAGAAATGCCTCATTAATGTTGCAACACGGCACATTGTCACTCTTCTCACATGGCTCTCCAGAGTTGCCTAAACCCAATGGAGTACTGGGAGAAGATTCAGATGATAATTCTTTTCCGCCAAAGAACTTGATCAGAAAGTCTAGATGGCTCTGGTGAAGATGCAACCGAATAGGAAGTATAGCAATCCGCAGCCTGAATGCAACATCATAAGTAACTTAGACCCCCGGCATATGGTTTTATTTATATTGATGCCTTCTTCTCATGATAAGACCTAAGCATTACCAATCAAACTACAGTACCGCAAAATAAGAAAAAAAGAAAAGATAGGAACAAAGAAGATTACCGGTTTTCTTCTATGCGAATTGATGGGTCTGGTCTAACAGCTTCTAAATTTAGCTTCACTGCTTTTGAGGAGGACTTTCTAGGATGCTTTTTTGATTGATAGCAACCGAGCACCTTAAATCCAAATTTAAGAACACTCAAAAAAAAAAAAAAAAAAAAAAAAAAA